CCAATTTCGCTACTCGATGACTATTACTAATAGTCCCCTAGTAGCGTAGCCAATCAAAATGCAGGATTTGCATTAGTCCACTAGTTGGGTGATACCAATGTTACTTAAATAATAAGTCAGAAATAAAGAAATTTTGTATACTCTAATATGCATGGACCACTTGGAAAGCCATTAGGCCATGACTAATCAGAGAGATACAATTATATGATATCGCTGTCTGATGTTTACAGTAAGTTATTGACTCCACAGTGACCAATCGATCACATCTGCATTGCACGAGGTTTTTCAATGCTATAGCAGTCTGCTGTGAAGAAAACGAAACTGTAAATGTAGGCCTAAGTCAGTACTGATGTACTTAATGGATTTAATAGAACTGAATAAGGCAAAGTCTTGCGGTGTAAACCTTACCCACGAAAGGGTCACTTTAGAAACTATCACCGGCGCCTCTTGCTATCAAATAATTATGTGTCATTACAGTTTTAAGATATAGTTCCCTGTTATTTTGTTACCTATTTATTTACCGTGTCAAAATGTGAACCACCATTACAGCCCACGATTTTAACTTTTCTTTTTTTTCAATACTGTGGCATTTGTTCTAGGAAGTGCAACACCGTGACTATAGGTAACGCATTTTTTACACATTGAACGGAAATCAAGTAAAATCTTTGCTGTAATATTCTCATACAGAGGGGTGGTCACCTGGGAAACCATTTCGCGCTTTGTTTATTAGCTTTATCTTTAGCAAAGTGCAGTCATATTACCGGCGCCTCTTGCTATTACAGTTTTATAATATAGGCCTCTGATATTTTGTTACTTATTTTTTTGTCATGCCAAAATGGGAACAATCATTGCAGCGCACGATTTTAGTTTTTGTTTTAAATACTGTGGCATTTGTTCTAGAAAGTGCAACACAACTATAGGTGAAGAATCTTTCACAAATTTAACGGAAATCAAGTAAAATCTTTGCTGTAATATTCTCATACACAAGGGTGGTCACCTGGGAAACCATTTCGCGCTTTGTTCATTTGCTGTATCTTTAGCAAAGTGCAGTTATAGTCTGAAAGCTTATTCATCCAAGTTTAGCCAATCATTGCATAAGACGATCTTATATATTGTCACTAAAACACCCTGTTTCAATCAGGCGAGGTAATTCTTCCTTCGAGAGAGGCAGAACGAGGTGAGTGAACAAAATATTTAACGAAGGCGTCGTTTTGTTCGGCTACACTACGATTTAGATCCTTGCTTTTTGCTTATTGTTTATTTCAGAATTACGATTGTTTCAGTATCACTAAGACCAAACACAAAAAAATTGGATATAATACAAAGCCTAAGAAAATATATGCTGTGTTTTCTATGGCAGAAATTTATATCACCAAAACATATTGAGTCAAACACAATCTTATTGAAAATCACGCCAAGTTGCGATCAAAAAAGTAGAATTCATTCTGAAGTAGTCACTTATGGACAGAAGATAATAAGCCCCAACTGCCTTTCCCACCTGGTAAATTCCTTGACTATTACTATTTGTTTCCTATTCTTTTCCCCAAAATGTGTTGTTTCAAATGTTTCAAGCGAGGATTATCAGTGAAGTTCTTTCTTTCGTCCAACCTAAAGATCGTCGAGGACAGACAACTACGACTACACCGGCAAAACTTGATTCCCAAACAGGTTTCTTCACATTTAAGGTAAATAACAGAGTGTGGTTCAATAGCAGTCTTAACATCAAGTCGGTAAAAGAACAGCCTTGTTCAAGCGTTTTTACACGTTGAATTAAGTATATTAGAAATACGCGTGCTAGTGTTTTTCAGAAGCAAAGACTTGTTTTAGAAGATGGAGAAGTTCGCTATTAAAATTGAATTCTTTCTATATATTTTTGCTATTTTTCCATTGCATCTTCCATTCGAGACTAAAGGTTATCGATTAAAAACCAAATGCAGAGGTATTTTACTCCCGGCCGAGCATCAAAACTGAATTGAAAGCAGTAATAAAAGGCGTTTCTTTACTTTAGGATAATATGTTAATAAAGGAAAACGCAGCTAAATTAGAAAATGCCCGTTCGGACCTGACGATTATTTTCCATTCAAATTCGAACTGTTTTTGTCAACATTATGGTGAAAGCCCCGATGCACATGGCTCTGCTGTGTACATTATGAGTAAGCGATGAATTTCTTGGTTATGTTTTAAACACGGTGATATTTTTAACTTTTACAGGAACTGAAGACTTTTAAACATGGAACGAGTTCTTGTAATTTTACTTTTGATGTGCCTCATTGCCTTTTTCCAGTTGCATGAAAGGTTTGTATCAACTCGTGATCTGTGTATTATCAACAACTGTCGACAAAACAGCCCAAAGTATAAATCAGTTCACCTTAAACAAAGTATAGGGGATTATTGCTCTGGCCTCTCGTCAAACAAATAAATGAAATTACCAAAAATATTTAGAGTGCAATTCATTCAGCGAAAATGCACGGCCATGAATGGCTGCAATATGAAAGTTTAAACTGTTCTTCGTATTTGACCCTCGCATAAGGTCATACAATGCCTCAAATTCCCTCNATTTAGAATGGTCGTTAAAGAAAGTTTTATTTCCATTTCATGTGCAGTGAAGCTGGTCTTTTGGAGAAGACTGGATTGAGGGGGTCATTGACGAACCATCCCTCTTCCCAGGCCATCGCTGACATCATTTCGGAGACTGAGATCAAGCCTGTTCCGAAGACTGAGCTCCAGGATCAGACTCATACCCTCCACAAGGAAATCTGTTGCTTTGACTGACCAAATCCTGTTTAAATAAAGGATTGTTGTTGATTGTTGTTTAAGAACTGTGATTTGATAATTGAGTGGAAAATCAGGCTGAGCATTGAGCAAAAGAAATAAAAGTTATATTGATTAATCCTTGTTGACTATTTTCTATGTCATGCATACACCGACATGACGAGGAATAAGAAAAGTACAACAAAGCAGAATTAGGGAAACTGGAGTTCGTTTCCTGAAACCATAGACAAGCCACAAACACTGAAACCAGTGCTACACGTGCAGTCCCAACACATTTCACATGGCTTGGCTTCTTACTGAATGAACATGCAAAACTGATACATCACTTACTTGAACTGAAACTAACAAATTTGATGCGTCCTGTCGTAAAATCACATGATCGGCCTTTCTCAGGGTTTTGGATCGGGTTTGACTTACCGCTGAGAACTGGTCAAAATCTGTTGTTTAGTTGACAAACGACGCGTTTTGATGGTACAATGATTACAGTTAATGCAATGTTGAGCCAACAAAGAGAGTCGGCCAGGGGTTTTGGTCACGTGGTATACTCGACGTTGGGGTTGGGGTATAGAGAAAATACAACAAAGCGACTAAAAGATTTAAAATCTCATCCAGATTAGCAATTTTGGGGTAAAAGAAGGCACAAAATAGTCTCTCAGAATAAAAGTTCTTTGTTTAGCCGTTTGTACAAAGCAAAGGTGAAAATATTTGTACTTGCTGTGAATAGGAGAGTTTTTTGGGGTGTGTGATTGATTTAAGGTTCTGAAGAGCAAAACAAAACGAAATCGAAGACAATTTTTGCTAAATTTGTGCTAAACGTAACTGGACTTGTGACTTCACCTATGACGGAGAAAGTACTACTATTATCAGTTGAGTAAGGCGCGACAGAGTTTTGGTGACGAGTTAAGGACTTAAAATTACGGTGTTGCCACGGGCAACTTTTCTCGTTTCCAATGGTAACAGTATCGTCGTCCGCTATTTCGAGCGCTTTGCTGCCAATGACGTCACAGGCCGACAAGTTGCCAATGGAAACGGAGCCAGTTGCCCGTACGGCAACGCAATTTGAACGTTAAAACATGGTCAGCAAACTTTTGTCGCGTCTTAATCTACTGATAATCATAGTAAGAGATCCCGGAATACAAAATGGGTAGAACACAAGCCGGCCGGATACAAGCGTGTCAAACTATGAAAGCGTAATTAGGCATCAAGCTGAAACAACGGATCACGACAATCACCCGGATTACGAAATTCTAAGAAACGTGACAAGTAGGCAAAATTCTTTCCGCTACAAGCTTATCCTGCGAAGGCAACAGAAAGTACGCCGAAAATTTAGTTTAAAAACGTTTTTATAAAATCAAAACATTTTTTAGATCAGTTTCAAAAAGTAGTTTTTATGGTCCTGTCCACAATAGGCCAGAGAACTTGGTAAACGGCGTTTTCACTCTCAAAAAGCATCAAAATTAATCCCGTTCACACCGCGGGAGAGAAATCTGAAAACGCAGCTTACATTATTATTGTGCCGGATGTCATCGTCTTCCAAACGCTCCGTTTAGAAAATCTTTTCCGGCGTCCACACTAGAACGTAAAGCCGACATTTTAAAATTCCTCAGTCCGGTTTGAAGAGCATTTCTCGAAAAGTTGCGTTTTCGTGACGGATTAGTGTGGACGGTAGGCCAAACCGTAGAACTAAATCTGCGTTTTCAAGTTTCTCCGGCGTATAGTGGACGGGGCCTAAGTTAATCCGAATGCCGGTTGCGCTCCTTGACACTGAAATATTGAGTTTTTCGTTACATCGCACGTTAATTTTGGATGTAGATACAACCATTTTTTTTATGCTATAGTTCAGCTCAAATTTATATCAATTTTGTTTGCTTGAATCACTTTGGAAAAATAGACCTCTTAATTTAACCGTATTTGAACGATTTCCATATATCCCCAGAAACACTCTAGATTTGAACCAAAACTTCCACATTGTGGACTTTACTGAGAACATGGCACAATTTTCTGCCCACGCCAGTTAGAAGTCAATTAGATGTTTCGCGTACCTCCGTAGTAGTGCTTCAGCATTATAGAAATTTCGGCTGAAATCTTCCAATTCTCTCTTTTCTTGTCTAGAATTGTTGCCATATTTTTTTCCCACTACTTACGTTGGTCGCGACTTTCTCGCTTGTAGCTTTGAATGCCCTCAGGCGATTTGCGCCGTCAGATGACTTCATGGTGGAAGTTCATGGTGATTCAACCCGATGGCAGGGTAAATTATGAAGGCTNCGTTTTCAAGTTTCTCCGGCGTATAGTGGACGGGGCCTAAGTTAATCCGAATGCCGGTTGCGCTCCTTGAAATATTGAGTTTTTCGTCACATCGCACGTTAATTTTGGATGAAGATACAACCACTTTTTTATGTTATAGTTCAGCTCAAATTTATATCAATTTTGTTTGCTTGAATCACTTTGGAAAAATAGACCTCTTTATTTAACCGTATTTGAGCGATTCCCATATATCCTCAGAAACACTCCAGATTTGAACCAAAACTTCCACATTGTGGACTCTACTGAGAACATGGCACAGTTTTCTGCCCACGCCAGTTAGAAGTCAATTAGATGTTTCGCGTACCTCCGTAGTACTGCTTCAGCATTATAGAAATTTCGGTTGAAATCTTCCAATTCTCTCTTTTCTTGTCTAGACTTTCTAAAAAAAATTTTTGCCATATTTTTTTCCCCTCTACTTATGTTGGTCGCGACTTTCTCGCTTGTAGCTTTGAATGCCCTCAGGCGATTTGCGCCGTCAGATGACTTCATGGTGGAAGTTCATGGTGATTCAACCCGATGGCAGGGTAAATTATGAAGGCTGATGAGTACAGGTCTTATGATTTCTACTCCGTTGCACTGAATTCAAAGAACGG